TGGAGCCCGTGGATCAGAGAACCCGGGACGCCCTGCAACGCAGCGTCCAGCTGGCCATTGAGATCACCACCAACTCCCAGGAAGCGGCAGCCAAGTGAGTGAGGCCGGGAGCCTGGCTACCCATCATGCCCATGGCAGGCCACTGCCGGGACCTGGATAATCTGGTGTCCCCTATGGACTGCCTGCTGCCGTCCCCACCCCTAGGGATCTATTCCCTAGCTGACAGATCAGGTGACCCACTGAAAATGTGAAACAGGCTGGGTGCGCCGGCTCATGCATGTAATCCCAGCACCATGGGAGGCCGAGGCGGGAAGATCACTTGAAGCCAGGAATTTGGGGCTTCAGTGAGCCATGATTGTGCCACTGCACTCCAGGCTGGGCAACAGGCCTGGAAGACAGACCCTGTCTCAAAAGAGAAAGGAGGTGGGGGAAAAGACATGTATCAGATGCGGCTCCTGCAGCCTCCCATCTTGCATGTGATAAAACCCAAACTCCTTCCTGTAGGTCCAGCCAGCCTCCCCCGATTTGCCTTCCACCCTCCTCCTTCCATGTTCCTCATCTCCGGAACATGTTCCAGCCCCACTGGGTCCCTTCTGCTCCTTCAGTGCACAGCTTGGACCCACCTGAAGGCCTTTTGCACTGGCTGTTCCTGCTGCCCAGAAAGCACCCCCACCCCCGACCCCTACCACCGGCCCCCAGCTCCCTTCTAGGCAGGCTCCTCCTCCTGGCTTCGGCCCAAAGCTCCCCGCCTTAGGAAGTCCTTTTCTTTCTCTCACAGCTGAATAGCACCCTCTTTGCCTGGTCTCTCCCACTTTACTACCTTCGAAGTACTTGTCACTGTTTGAAATCCTCCTTTTGTGCTTGTTTCTTTCCCATTGGAAGGCAAGTGGCGTGAAAGCAGGGGCCGCGATGACGCCTGCATTTGCCAGGCCTAGAACTACACCGGCCTGCGGCGCGCGCACCATTCTGGGCTGAGTTGCTTGTGGAGTGCCTCCTAGGGCCGGAGTCCGTCCCAGGCACCAGTTTGGTTGGTGGTCGCTGCCCTTGGCGCTCCTGTTCCCGCTCCGTCCCATGCCAGCCTGTCACGTGCGCTCTGTCTCCTCCAGGCACGAGGCTCAGAGACTGGAGCAGGAAGCCCGCGGCCGGCTTGAGCGGCAGAAGATCCTGGACCAGTCAGAAGCTGAGAAAGCGCGCAAGGAACTCTTGGAGCTGGAGGCTCTGAGGTGGGTTGAGAACTCAAGGAGGAGACTGGCAGGGGCTGAGGATCTTGGGACAGCAGCTGGTGGGCAGCACGCCAGGTTGGGGCGTGGATAAGACGGTGCGCCCCTGTGCGTGGCTACAGCATAAGTCAAGGCTGTGGGAGGACTGCGCGGTCTCCCAGGTCTTACCTGACTCTGCTTCCTCCCCAGCATGGCTGTGGAGAGCACCGGGAATGCCAAGGCGGAGGCCGAGTCCCGTGCAGAGGCAGCCCGGATTGAGGGAGAAGGGTCTGTGCTGCAGGCCAAGCTGAAAGCAGAGGCCTTGGCCATCGAGACGGTGAGTGGGGCGGGGGGATGCCTCAGGAAGGGAGTGGCCTTGAGGCCTGGAAAACCCCATTCCCTCCAGTCCCTGAGACCATGTAGGATACCAGGTCCCCCAGCATAAAGCCCTATCCAAGTACTTTGTAGTTGACAAAGTCCTTTGCCTTGTAGGATTCATTGACTCCATTCCTGGAAGGTAAGGATTAGAACACCCAGTTTGCAGCTGAGCGCTCATGCGCTGGCCACCTTGGCACAGGCATCACGTGTGCGTCACATGAATGACCTTACTTAATGCTTGAAATCCCATTAAGAGGCTGGGCATGGTGGCTTACACCTGTAATCCCAGCACTTTTGGGAGGCTGAGACAGGCAGATCACTTGAGGTCAGGAGTTCGAGACCAGCTTGGCCAACATGGTGAAACCCTGTCTCTACTAAAAATACAAAAATTGGCTGGGTGCAGTGGCTCACCCCTGTAATCCCAACACTTTGAGAGGCCAAGGTGGGTGGATCACCTGAGGTTGGGAGTTTGAAACCAGCCTGACCAACATGGAGAAACCCTGTCTCTACTAAAAATACAAAATTAGCTGGACGTGATGGCGCATGCCTGTAATCCCAGCTGCTTGGGAGGCTGAGGCAGGAGAATCGCTTGAATCCAGGAGGTGGAGTTCAGTGAGCTGAGATCACTCCACTGCATTCCAGCCTAGGCAAAAGAAGTGAGACTCCATCTCAATTAAACAAAAATCCCATTAACGTAGGTAGATGAGGGGCTGAGGCTTGGGCTCAGGAGCCCCACAGGTCACTAGTTAAACAGTGGAAGAGCCAGGACTCACACCTCACTGACTACATGTTTCTAGCTCCATCCCTCTACCTCAGTTCCCTCGAGCTGGCTGGTAAGGGTGACTTGCTGGACAGTTCTGAGGGACCACGTGATCTAAAGGGTGCTGAAAATTTGAATGTCTCATGTGACTGACATGCTTGATAAGTAATTCATTCAGTGGATGGAGGACTTTGGAGATGGTCGGATGATCTGGGTTCAGATTCTGCTTTGGCCAACCACAGTGGCTCATGCCTGCAATCCCAGCACTTTGGGAGGCTGAGGTGGGAGGATCACTTGAGCCCAGGAGGTTGAAGCTGCAGTGAGCTGAGATCCTGCCACTGCACTCCGGCCTGGGTGACAGAGCAAGACTTTGTCCCTAAAAAATAAAAACAAGGCTGGGCACAGTGGCTCACATCTGTAATCCCAGCACTTTGGGAGGCCAAGGCAGATGGATCACCTGAGGTCAGGAGTTCAAGACCAGCCTGGCCAACATAGTGAAAGCCTGTCTCTACTAAAAATACAAAAAATTAGCTGGGCATGGTAGCACACACCTGTAATCCCAGCTACTCAGGAGGCTGAGGCAGGAGAATCACTTGAACCCAGGAGGTAGAGGTCGCAGTGAGCCAAGGTCGCACTACTACACTCCAGCCTGGGCAATAAGAACAAAACTCCATCTCAAAAATAAGTAAATAAAAATAAATTTAAAAAGAGGCCTAGTGTGGTGGCTCATGCCAGTAACCCCAGCACTTTGGAAGGCTGAGATGGGAGAATCATCTGAGGTCAGTTTGAGAGCAGTTCAAGACCAGCCCGGGCAACACAGCAAGACCTCCTCTCTACAAAAAAAATATTAATTGGCTGGCTGTAGTGGCATGTGCCTATAGTCCCAGCTACCCAGGAGGCTGAGGCAGGAGACTCCTTTGAGCCCAGGAGTTCAAGGCTGCAGTGAGTCCTGATCTACATTCCAGCCTGGGTCAAAAAATAAAGAATGGTGGATTTTTTCCCCTTTCAGGAGGCTGAGCTCCAGCGGGTGCGGAAGGTCCGAGAGCTGGAACTGGTTTATGCCCGGGCCCAGCTGGAGCTGGAGGTGAGCAAGGCTCAGCAGTTGGCTGAGGTGGAGGTGAAGAAGTTCAAGCAGATGACAGAGGCCCTGGGCCCCAGCACCATCAGGGACCTTGCTGTGGCTGGGCCTGAGATGCAGGTGAGAGTTGGGAAGGCAGGGAGGGGAAGGCGTGTTGCTTTCAGGACCAGCCTGGACTTCCTTGGAACCAGGAAGGAAGAATCAAGGGGGAAAACACAACATCTGGAAAGATGGTGGGTGGGGGAAAGAGGGGTGAGAAATCTGTTCCTGCATCTCCGGTCATTTATGCAGTGTCACGCTGCATCAATGTCAGGCACTATACTAGACCTAGCAGTGAGCTGAGGCTCCCGAGGAGACAGGAAATGGATGGGGCACCAGTCTGTGACAAGAGGGTCCAAGGCAGTCGAACAGGGTGATCAGATGCAGGAGAGGTGACCCTTCAAACCAGCTGACTTAAGGAGAGTCCCCAAAAACTCTGCAGCTTGGCTGCCTAGAGAGGCAGATGAGGAGCTGAGAGAAGTAGCCAGGGTTTGACGCCCATCTTCTCAACTTCCTCCTGTTCTCACCCTCCAGGTCAAACTGCTCCAGTCCCTGGGCCTGAAATCAACCCTCATCACTGACGGTTCCACTCCCATCAACCTCTTCAACACGGCGTTTGGGCTGCTGGGGATGGGGCCCGAGGGTCAGCCCCTGGGCAGAAGGGTGGTCAGTGGGCCCAGCCCCGGGGAGGGGATATCCCTTCAGTCTGCTCAGATCCCCAAAGCTCCTGCGGACAACCACGTGGTGCCTGTACTGCACCCTTGACCAATAAAATGGACGTTTTTGGGCATTTAAAATTTAAATGCTTTTCTCTTGTCTGATGTTAATTGGGGTCACAAGGGAGCTTAATGGTGGAGAGGGGAGGTGCCCCTGACATCTTTTTTTTCGTTTTTAGAGACTAAGTCTTGTTCTGTCACCCAGGCTGGAGCATAATGGTGTGATCTCTGCTCACTGAAACCTCCACCTCCTAGGTTCAAGTGATTCTCCTGAGTAGCTGGGATTACAGGTGCGTGCCACCATGCCTGGCTAATTTTTGTATTTTTAGTAGAGATGGGGTTTCATCATGTTGGCCAGGCTGGTCTTGAACTCTGAACCTCAGGTGATCCACCTGCCTTAGCTTCCCAAAGTGCTGGGATTACAGGCTTGAGTGACCGTGCCTGGCTGACATATTTAGATAGTTGCAGGAGACTGTTCTCTATAAAGGGGAGAGGACCCCAAGGCAGGGGGATGATGAACTGGAAGTCACCCAGTATGAATGTGGCCCCAAAGCTTTGTGCACTGAGTAGCTGTTGGCTTCCTAGAGCCCGGTAGGGGCGACGATGTCACAGGCAGGGGCATGGGGCCCCCACTAGCAACGTCTCACCACCAGGCCTCCAGGAGCGCAGCTGCCTGGGACTCTCAGCATCTAACCCTTCAGCTGTGGCAGATGCAGCCCAGCTTCCCAGAGGGGAGGCTCCCTACTGGTAGCGCTGGCAGCACCAGTGGGCATGCCAGGCTGGCACCCTGTGCTGTATACTTGTACCTTCCTGGGAGGGGGCTATCAGGTTGGGGAGGAGGACCTTGCCCAGAGCAGTAGGAATTGGGCATCTCCTTGGGCTTCTGGTCTGGGTTTTTCGGGAACAATGAGGGAGGGATGCCCTCATTCTACCCTCTCCCCCACAACCAGTAAGGGGTCCTCATTTGAGAGAAGGATCCAGGTGCAGTTAGCCTGGGTACACCAGCCCTTTGCAGGCCAGGTAGAGTTGTAAGTGCCAGGCCCACCCCATCTCTGCCAAGGAAGTAAAAACATCCTAGGGGCTGAGTGTGGGAACTTAGGCCTGTAACCTTAGCACCTTGGGAGGCCAAGGCACAAGGATCACTTGAGACCAGGAGTTTGAGACCAGCCTGGCCAACATAGCAAGACCCCCATCTCTTAAAAAATTCGCCAGGTGTGGTGGCATGCACCCAAGTTCCCAGCTACTCTGGAGGCTAAGCTAAGTGGATTGCCTGAGCCCAGAAGTTGGAGGCTGCAGTGAGCTATGATCACACCACTGCACTCCAGCCTGGGTGACAGAGGGAGACCCTGTTTCTATTAAAACCAACCCCCTAAAAGCCTCCCCAACTCCTTGATCTTCCCTTCCCTGTGATATTTATTGGAAAAAGCCCCATCCCTTCTTAAACCACCTCCCTCCCTCTCTGCACTGCCCCTGACCAGCTGCATGTTGCTGGAGGAGGAACACCCCTTGGAGCTGACTGATCTTATTTTAAACTCATGGCAACAAACTTTGGGGGAGGTACAGCTCCTCTGACTGCTGCTCTGTCTTGTGTGCGATCTGCTTTGAGACAACCCTTCACACCACCTCTCTTCTCAGCCTCCTACACCCCTGCCCACTTTCTCTCACCTCTTTGAGAAAATAGAAGCAAATTGGGTAGGGAGGCCCTTCCCAGCAACAAACCTAACAAACTGCTGGCATCTGGACTCTGCCCTCCCTCCTGTTCCCAGCCGCAGCTCCTCCCCATGGACTGTAGGAGGGAGGGCTGCGTTCCTCCACTGATCGCCTTCCTCTCCTGTGCTATCATTGTTTTTCCCTTTGTTTGAGACAGTCTCGCTCTGTCACCCAGGTTGGAGTGCAGTGACGCGATCTCACCTCACTGCAACCTCCACCTCCTGGGTTCAAGTGATTCTCCTGCTTCAGCCTCCCAAGTAGCTGGGACTGCAGTCATGCACCACTATGCCCTGCTAATTTTGTATTTTTAGTAATGGGGTTTTGCCATGTTGCCCAGACTGGTCATGAACTCCTGACTTCAAGTGATCCGCCTGCCTCTGCCTCCCAAAGGGCTGGGATTACGGGTGTGAGCCTCTGTGCCCAGCTGATATGCCGTCAGTTTCTTCTCTGTGCAGCATCGTCATCAGGATATTGACATGCCTACTCTGTCCATATAAAACAACTCTGTAACCCTATGAGCCCCTCCAACTCCCACCTCTCCTTTTTCTGTCACAGCCAAATTTTTCCAGAGTTCTCTGTGGCCTCACTTTCCATTCCCCATCTCTCATTATCTTTTCAAACCACTCCAGATAGGGCTGGGCACAGTGCCTCACGCCTGTAATCCCAGCACTTCAGGAGGCCGAGGTGGATGGATCGTCTGAGGTCGGGAGTTCAAGACCAGCCTGGCCAACATAGCGAAACCCCCCTTTCTACTAAAAATACAAAAATTAGCCAGGCGTGGTGGTGGGCCCCTGTAATCCCAGCTACTTGGTAGGCTAAGGCAAGAGAATCGCTTGAACCCGGGAGGTGGAGGTTGCAGTGAGCTGAGGTTGTGCCATTGCACTCCAGCCTAGGCAACAAAAGCAAAACTCAGACTCAAAAGAAAAAACCCACCCCAGGTATCTTCTGTCTCTGCCCCTTACTTTATGGAAGCTGCTCTATTCGGCGCCACCAGTCATGTCTCGTTGCTAAATGCAGTAGTTGATCAGCCACTCCATCACTTGGCACAATTGGCCATTCCTCTCATGCTGGGCTTTCCTGATGTCACCTGTTCTAGTTTTCTTTCTTGCTTCTCTCAGACTTTCCTTTGTGGGTTCCCCGAGGCCCCCTTCTCATGCTGACATTCTTGTCCAGTCTTAGGACCTTAGGTGGTCTCTATACCACTGACCTTAGAATCCATTACTCCAGCCCTCACCTCACCCAAGAGCTCTGGGCTTATTTCCAATCTATGCCTTGAGATCTCCACATGGACATTGATTGGCGATCAGCCTTTGATGTGATTTGCTCTCACCAATGAAATGCAAGGGGAAATGACGTCACATGCCTGCTCTTCCCTTTTCCATAAATGAATGTTAAGATATGGAAATGGGCTGGGCACAGTGGCTCACACCTGTAATTCTAGCACTTTGAGAAGTCAAGGCAGAAAGGTCACTTGAGGCAGGAGTTTGAGACCAGCCTGTGTAACACAGTGAGACCCCCATCTGTACAAAAAAATTTTAAAATAACAGGGCATGAGGCCGGGCGCGGTGGCTCAAGCCTGTAATCCCAGCACTTTGGGAGGCCGAGGCGGGTGGATCACAAGGTCAAGAAATCGAGACCATCCTGGTCAACATGGTG